TTGAGTCACAGCGCTACTTCCAGTTTTCTGGTGGTTAATTGGAGATAAAGAGTCTCACAGGCTTTCCTGCCTGGGCTGGCTTTGAATGGGTATCCTCAGATCTCAATATCCTTAGTAGCTAGAATTACAGGTGTGAGGCACCAGCCCCTGGCCTGTGAGACTTTTATCTCCAATTAACCACCAAAAAGCCAGAAGTGGAACTATGACTCAAATGGTAGAGTATCAGCTTTGAGCAAAAAAACTTCAGGGACAGCATGCAGGCTCTAATTTCAAGCCCAGGACTAGATACAAACAACAATAACAACAAATGGGCAAAACATGATAAATAATAACAAAAGGAAGACAAACCAAAATATCTTACAATAAAATAAAAGGCAGTCATATCTACCTCTTGAAAGGACCAAAACTTTGTCAAAAACAAGGGGTGCCAGTGGCTCATGCCTGCAATCCTAGCTACTCAGGAGGCTGAGATTTGAGGACTGCGGTTCAAAGCCAGCCCAGGCAAGAAAATCTATGAGACCCATATTTCCAATTAACTACCAAAAAAGCTGGAAGTGAAGCTGTGGCTCAAGTGTTAAGAGCATTAGCCTTCAGCAAAAAACTCAGGGACAGTGCCCAAGCCCTGAGTTCAAGTCCTAGGACAGGCATAAAATAAAATAAAATAATAAATAAAATACACAAGGGATTAGCAGGATGCCAGGGGCTCATGTTTATTGAATCTTAGCTACTCAAGAGGCTGAGATTTGAGGAGAATGGTCCAAAGCCCTCCCCAAACAAGAAAGTTCATGAGATTATCTACAATTAACTACCAAAAAGCTGGAATTGGAGCTGTGCTCAAGCGGTGAGCATAAAAGCAGAGTGAGGGCTGGGAAGGTGGCTCAGTGGTAGAATGCTTGTCTTGCATGCACGAGGCCCTGGGTTTGATTCCTCAGCACCACATAAGCAGAAAAAGCAGGAAGTGATGCTATGGCTCAAGTGGTAGAGGAGCTCAGGGACAGTGTCCAAGCCCAGAATTCAGGCCCCACGACTGACCAAAAAAAAAAGAAAAAGAAATTAAAAGAATTGTTCAAAATTAGCACAACTATCTCTAACATCCCTTTACATAGTGAGCACCTACATAAAGTATATAAATCCTATCTCATTTCTGAGATAGGATTTGCATCATTTCTACAACAAATAGTTCTTGAATTTGATATCTAAAAAGTAAATGCAGTTGACTGGTTTCTAGGAACTCAGAATCAGGACAGACACACACACACCAAAAAAAAAGCAGCTTGAGACCCAATGTTCAAGTCCCAGTATAAGCAAAAAAGGGAGTGGGGAACATGGTTACCAGTTTTTCAGAATTTTGATTTTGCCAATAATTCCTATGGATGTTATTTGTAACAGTAAATTGGCACAAGTAACTTACAGCTCCAATTAGTAAATTTTTCTGTCATAGAAAAGAGCAATAAGCACTAAAAGTAATTCTAAATTTTTAACTATTAGGAAAAAAAAAATTAATCCAGGCACCAGTAGCTCATGCCTATAATCCTACTTAAAGCAGTTTCCTTGGAGGCTGAGAACTAAGGATAAAGGTTCCAAGTCAGACCAGACAGAAAAATCCCAGAAAGTCTACCTCCATTAAAAAGCAAAAACGCAGGGCTAGGAAGGTAGCTCAGTGGTAGAGTGCTTGCCTTGCATGCATGAGGCCCTGGGTTCAATTCCTCAGCACCACATAAGCAGAAAAAGCCGGAAGTAGCATTGTGGCTCAAGTGGTAGAGCACTAGCCTTGAGCTGAAGAGCTGAGGGACAGTGCCCAGGTCCAGAGTAAATGGCCCCATGACCAGCACAAAAAAAAAAAAAAGAAAGAAAAAGAAAAGAAAAAAAGCTAGAGGTGTGGCTCAAGTGATAAAAAAAAAAAAGTAGGTCATAAATAAGCCAGGAGAGAGTACAAGGCCTAGAGTTCAAGTCCTGGTACCAGTGTGCACAAATACAACATATAAATACACCAAGAAAAAATGTTTTTAATAAAACAGTAACTACTTACTATTTTAATCACTATAACAGAAAGTAAAAATCTGTCTTTTTCTTTTTCTAGAGTAAAATATATAGTTGGGATTTGAGTTTTTAAAGTATAACCTCACAACAAAAATACATATTTCTCTTTTAAAAGTCTACAATTAACAAAATTGTGATAGTGGTAAGCTGTTTATAATTTAAATGTACAAGTAAAAACTGCAAGAAAAATTTAACTTTAAACAATGAGTAAGATAAATGAGTTTCACTTATTCATACATGCAACAATTAACTTATTTTCCACATTTATAGGATTTCAACAAACTACTCAAATGTTAGGCTTTGTGCATAAGATTCAAAATGGTCACTAGCATTTAGTTTGAAAATAAAATTCTTACCAGGTGCAGGTGACTCACATCTATAATCCTAGCTACTTAGGAGGCTGAGATACATGAGTCACTATTCACAACCAGGTAGGGCAAGAAAAAGTCTGTGAGATGCCTATCTCCCATTAACCACTAAAAAAGATGGAAATGGAGCTGTGACCTCTCATAGTAGAGCACTATTCTTGGGCACAGAAGCTCAGGGACAGTGCCCAGGCCCTGAGTTCAAGCCCCACAGCACAGGAAAGGAAATGGAAAAGGGAAGGGGAAGGGGAAAGGAAAAAGAAAGGAGAAGAAGGGGAAGGAAAGGAGGGAGACAGGGGGAGGGAGGGAGGAAAAAAATTCTTATACTTGGGTTAATCCATGAAGCTGCTAAAAATGTAATTTGTTTTTACTAATCACCTCAGTTGGCCTTTTCAACCTGCTTCTCTGTCATATGAGAAAGAAATAGAGCTTTTATTTTTTTATTTTTTATGTATTTATTTTTTTGTTGGTCGTGGGGCTTGAACTCTGGGCCTGGGCGCTGTCCCTCAGCTCTTCAGCTCAAGGCGAGTGCTCTACCACTTGAGCTACAGTGCCACTTCCAGTTTTCTGATGGTTTATTGGAGATAGGAGTCGGTCTCTCCTGCCCGGGCTGGCTTTGAACCGCGATCCTCAGATCTCAGCCTCCTGAGTAGCTAGGATTACAGGCGTGAGCCACCAGCGCCCAGCTGAAATAGAGCTTTTAAATGGGACAATCTTTAAAGCAATTATCAATATGCTGAAAGAACAAGCAACTTTTTAAATTCATTGTTACTGTTTCACCCCTTTCTCAGCATTTTTACTTTATTAAATATTAAGTAGAGAATATTCCCAGAAATTTCTCTCTGCTCTGTATAGCTACATACTCCCACAGTAACAAGGATCATTTTGGCAACAGCACCAATGTGTATGGTGAGTGCCTGCCAAAACAAAGATAAAAATTCACTGCATGGGGCTGACTCTCAATTTCTATACTAGGAAATAGGATATTATATCTCAGAGAAAACTATACTACAAATATACCAGTGATTCCATCAGCACTAATTCTGCACGATTTTTTTTTAGTTGACAGACACATTTAATTTATATATATATATAATTTATCCCATTTTCAACAGTGACAAAAATGGTAAGTCTCTTGAGTGGATTGTAAGTTTTGCTGATTGTGTATTAGAGACTCTATAAGCAAGAACCAAAAGCTACTAGGTGAACCCATGCAACAGTTGTAAAACTTCCCAAAAAAAATCTATAGCTCACTACAGATGACACAATGAAGACTAGAGAGAAAAGCCATATAGTAATGCTACACCATTCAGCTCCAAGAAGCACATTGTTTATTGTGCAGTCCACATTAAGGTCACTGCTAAATGTCAATCAGCAGTCTTATAGAGTTACAGTTTGGAACTAGTGGAGTCCACAGATCTAAACAGATATACAACATTACAAAAATCCATTTATATATTTATATATATATATATATATATGCTTTTAAATACCTATAAAAGCAAACTAAACATTAGCAACTAGAGTTTGAAAACTCATACTAAATTTTAAAACCTATTCAATCAACCTGACAATGATTATGCCAGGATTTTAATCAGTCAAGCAGACCAAAAACAAACTAATGGCTGATGGGTAACTGCATTTCCAATTACTATAATAACATATTTTAAATCTATGATGCAGGCATTTTGCTTTTGTGTATAACTTAACATCATTTTCCCATCTGGCTTCTCATTTTCAAGCTATGATAAAGGTCATAAAAGGATCATTTATCCTAAATCACACAAGCCAATCCTAGTAACTATGACAGAAACTAGAATGAGCTATGGCTTTAGATAAAAGTTTTGTTTTTCAAGTATTCTAATACACAAAGGTTATAATTATAATGGTTTGTACTTTAAAGTATCATTAAGTACCCATGGCTTAAAATTCAAGTTCAATTTGTTGTAATTAGGATACTTTACATTTTCACTTTAATTCAGACAACCATGTAATCTAGCAATTCTTGCATAATTTTCTTAAAAAAAATAAAACTTTTTTTTTGTCAGTCCTGAGACTTGACCTCAGGACCCGGGCACTGTCCCTGAACCAATTTGTGCCCAAGGCTGGCGCTCTACCATTTGAGCTGTAGCACCACTGAGATAAGAGTCTCATGGACTTTCCTCCCCAGGCTGGCTTTGAACCGTGATCCTCAGATCTCAGCCTCCTGAGTAACTAGGATTACATACAGGAGCCACCGGCACCCAGCACATTTTATTCTTGACCAGAAAATTCATTGAATGGTATTTGGTTGATTGAAATAAAGGAAAATAAAACTTTTTAATTATTAAATACTTTCTGAATGCAGGATTTTGACTATTTTCAACAATTGTCTATAGAAATTAAAATGCCTGTTACCATTTCACTAACAAATCTGGATTTCAGAAGTTCACTAAAAGCATAATGCATTGTTTTACCTTTTGCATCTCATTTCCCATCTTCCTGGTTTTCATCAAATTTACTACAAAATTAAAGACCTTAATCCTCTACTCACAATAACCCTTCATATAGGCATATTCTTGGCACAAACCTGTGCAGACTTCCATGGTTATCAGCTGCTGCAGAATACCTTTGTTTAAAAAAAATGACTAGACCTTTAGCTCCTGCAATGATCTGTAGACTCCCAAAGCTGCATATTTCCAGCCATTTTGAGTTGCATGCTGTAGCAAAACAGTCAGCACCTCTCAATAGATATTGCTGCAGAGAAAGATTTTAATTCAGCAGAGACACACTCTCTGTGATAGAAGCAACATTTCCCTCTAAGAACAAAACAGCTCAATACAGCCAGCCAGCCACATAACTTAATATATACTATTATTTCGTAAGCATTCTTCATGTGATAAAAGACTTTTCCTTTGGGAAAGGAAAAGAGGGAACGTAGGCTACGTACTTTGGTGCCAATCACATAGGAGTTTCTTTTAAAACTTTAAATTTTATTCCTGAATGATTAGGTAGCAGAAATAAGATCCTGTTTTATCTTGTGATTATATTTAACATAAACTACCAAATCACAAATAATACATATATTTGTGTTTCAGAAAGAAATTTTTATTACTACTTGTAAAAATTGAGTAATATAGCCTTTGGCCATATATTATTAAAGAATTAAATATATAGGCTCAGTACTATACCATTTGCTTTTTTTAAATGAGGAAGATAACATTATTTAGCACCTACTATCAGTATTCTACTATTACTTATTGAGACAGTGACTTTCCAATCAGACTGTCTTCTCAAGTACTGTCCCTATGACATTTGGTAGAAAATCTTGCACATAGTAAGGGCAATATAGCATTACCCTCACATGCCACAGAAATTAGTTTTCAAAAATTTCTTACACGGGCTGGGAAGGTGGCTCAGTGGTAGAACGCTTGCCTTGCATGCATGAGGCCCTGGGTTCGATTCCTCAGCACCACATAAGCAGAAAAAGCCAGAAATGGTGCTATGACTCGAGTGCTAGAGCACTAGCCTTGAGCTAAAGAGCTGAAGGACAGCGCCCAGGCCCAGAGTTCAGGCCCCATGACCGGCCAAAACAAACAAACAAACAAAAAAAATTCTTACAATGTGGCCATAAAAAGAGACTTTAAAAATGTTAATTATCATTTAGAGATTATAAAAAGTCTTTGTTCAATATAGCAATAATAAATAGTAGGCTGCAAGTTCATATTAAAAAATTCCTACTATGGGGCTGGGAAGGTGGCTCAGTGGTAGAGCGCTTGCCTTCATGCTCAAGGCCCTGGGTTCGATTCCTCAGCACCACATAAGCAAAAAGAAAAAGCCAGAAGTGGTGCTGTGGCTCAAGTGGTATAGTGCTAGCCTTGAGCTGAAGAGCTGAGGGACAGCGCCCAGGCCCAGAGTTCAGGCCCCACAACCGGACCCAAAAAAAAAAAAAAAAAAATTCCTACTATTGGCAATCAGAGTATTCAACAGAATTCTAACTTATATAGGAATACTAAGCAACTATGTACTTTATATAATATGGTACTGGGGACTTGATATTGACAGTTTGTTCTTAAGCTCTGATCCAAAAAGAAACATACTTAAAATGGGAAAATTTAATTATTTCAAGTACAAGATACTGGCTCATGCCTATGGGTTTCATTATAAAGGTCAGCCTGGTAATAATAACCCCCAAAATGGAAAAAGGCACAAACTTCAATAAATTTTAACTTAGTAAAGTGGGCTTGGCATTTTAAACTTATGTCAAAACACAAGACTGGACTTTCAGCACCATATTAGATTTGAATTCTCCCTCTGCAGCATTATCACATGCGTCATCAAATACTGCCATGCCTAAGTCTAGCACCATGCCAGCACATTAAGACAGAAGGTACTATATGCAGTGTTCACTGGACCAGAGGACAGAAATAAGAAGGGGAGGTGGGGAGAAAGAAACCCTTGAGAAGAAATTTAAATAAAAAAAAAAAAAAGGCAGACCGTGCAATACAAACCAGATCATGGCTGCTTAGCTAATATGGGCCAACTGCTGTGGAAGAAAAATGTCGAACACCCCAAGTTGTGTAAATTTCTGTAAACATCTAAACACACACACAAACATACACAACACCAACCTAATTAGGAACATAAATATATGTTGATCCTTTACTATATTACAGTTTAAAAAATAAAAGCTAAAATATCTGTGCACTCTACATCTCTACATTGCCGTATTTCCCACAGGAAAAAGAAGCTAATGCTTCTTAAAGGAAAAGGGGGGCTTGTCTTGACTGATACAAAGATTTGACTTCTTGACTCTTTTCCTCATTTAAGTTTTACCAGTGCTCCAATAAAACCCTTATAAAGTAGGTACACTTAAGCACAAATATTAAATGCTGACAATTATAACAAACTTAAAGACATTTTGACAAAAGACTAAGCTATTTAAAAACAATGGGTTTTTCAAAACAAAGTATTTCAAAATTAAAAACTTAAGGGTTTTTTTTTTAATTAACAGATAGGGAAAAGATCTCTTTGTTTTACTGCTTGACATCATTAACGTTCCAAATTATGCACTATGATAAGATAAAAATAACTTTTGACAAAAAAAAAAAAAACACAAAAAACAGACTGTTTTGTTTGTGGTGCTGGGATCAAACCCATGGCCTTTTACATAGGCAAGCACTCTACCACTAAGCTACATCCCCAGCTCATACACCAGAAACCAAAATTTATGATGTTACACAGGAGTCTGGTAAATAAAATTGGTAACTGTTTTTATACATGTTTCTATATATGATTATATTTATTGCCCAGAAAAAGAATTAAAGGATCAAAATACATTTTACTCCTTTATTCAATTTACAAAATATTAAACTTGAACTTACTATCTTAATCAAAGTATTAGTATAAGCCATAATTACATTTGCAAAAAAAATTTAATCTTTTCTCTGTTTTAGGCTGATTTTCCAATGTATTAAATATTAGATTCCATTATAAACTCTGATTACTGTTGGACATGCAAGAAAATAGTTCTAAACTATTCTATCAGTTACTAATAAGTTTAGCTTCATCCACATCAGTGTCACTCAATCACTACCTAACTAACTGACTAAGACCTAAAATAAAGCGCAGATCATCTTACCGATTCTATAGGCTTGTCGAGGGACGCTTGTTCAATTTCTAAGTGTCCTTCTTCATATTGATCAAAGTGATTACCCTAGAAAAAGAAGACCACAGTTACTTTTCAAAATCAATAAAAAAAATTATTAAAAGCCTATCAAAGTAAGAAATATTTCCACCTTTTTATTCCTTTTCAGCAGACAACCGAAACTGTTCACTAATCCAGACTTTTAATTTTTGGTGCTGGTCTGGGTCTTGAACTCAGAGACTGAATTTTTCTTTTTCTTGTCAGTCCTAGAGCTTGAATTCAGGGGCTGGGCACTGTTCCTGAGCTTCTTTTTGTTCAAGGCTAGTGCTCTACTCCTTGAGCCACAGTGCCACTTCTGGCTTTTTCTGTTTATATGGTACAATAGAATTGAACCCAGGGGGCTTCATGAATGAGAGGCAAGAACTCTACCACTAAGCCACATTCACAGCTCTGTGTGTGTGTGTGTGTGTGTGTGTGTGTGTGTGTGTCAGAGAGAGAGAGAGAGCGTGCAAGCGCACACCCTGGGTGTGTCTGAATGAGAGGCAAGAACTCTACCACTAAGCCACATTCACAGCTGTGTGTGTGTGTGTGTGAAGCCACATTCACAGCTGTGTGTGTGTGTGTGTGTGTGTGTGTGTGTGTGTGTGTCAGAGAGAGAGAGAGAGAGAGAGCGCAAGCGCACACCCTGGGTGTGTCTGTTTGTTTAACTAGATATAAAAGTTTAATCAACTTGGCTGGGAAGGTGGCTCAGTGGTAGAGTGCTTGCCTTGCATGCACAAGGCCCTGGGTTCTATTCCTCAGCACCACTTAAGCAGAAAAAGTCAGAAGTGGTGCTGTGGCTCAAGCGGTAGAATGCTAGCCTTGAGCTGAAGAGCTGAGGGACAGCATCCAGGCCCCACAACTGACAAAAAAAAAACAAACCTTTCCTGCCCTGTGTGTGTGTGTATATGTGTGTGTGTTTGTCTATGTATGTGTGTGTGTGTGTAACTAGATATAAAAGTTTTACCAACTTTCCTGCCCAGCCCTGCTTCAAATTGTAATCCTCAAATCCCAGCCTCCTGAGTAGCTAGGATTACAGGTGTGAGCCACTGGCACTCAGGTAATTCAGACTGTGTGTGTATAAGGCCTGGTGCTTGAATTCAAGGCCTTGATACTGTCCCTGAGCTTTTTTGCTCCAGGCTAGTACTCTATCACTTGAGCCACAGCTCCACTCATGGCTTTTTTTGGTAGTTAAATGGAGTAAGAGTTTCACAAACTTTCCTGCCTGGGCTGGCTTTGAACTTTCTGCAATCCTCAGATCTCAGCTAGATTGGTAGGTGTGAGACACTGGCACACTGCAGACTTCAAATTAAAAAATTATAAAAAACAATTAGGAACTAAGAGTATACAGCTTCACAGTAGAGCACTTGCCTAAGCATGTACAAGGCCCTGGGTTCAATTCCTGGGGGTAGGGAAAAATAGACATGTAAAAACAACTTACTAAGAGTTTAAGCCTAAAGGGGTTATTCTAATTAAACTACAGTCTATGCACATAAAATAAAGTTTAAACCTAAGTCTATATTTTTCTTCTCCTCCATACTAAGCAACCATTTGAGACATCAGTTCTTTCTTACACTGACTACTGCAGAGTCTAAAAACAAAGAGCCATGTTTATAAGCAATATTACTTTTTTGTATGTGCTAGGTATTAGAGCTTGACCTCTGAGGCATTCCACTCTTGCTTGGCTTTCTTGCTCATGGATAGCTCTCTATCACCTGAGCCATGACTTTTAATTCACCATTTTGTTAGCTAATGGGAATGAGAGTCTCAGACTTCTACCCAGGCTGGTTTCAAACCTTGATCTTCCAGCTTGTGGCCTCCTAAGTACCTAGGATTATAGGTATAAGCCACCAGCATCCAGGTTTAATATTGCCTTTTTTAACTAGAGAAAGTTAAGTCATATCCAGGTATGGTGGTACATACCTATAATCTCCAACATATAGCAGAGATAGGACACACTAGGCTACACAGCAAGACCCTGGTCTTAAGGAGGCAAGGGAGGGAGGGAAGGAGGGAGGCAGCCTATATTATTTATATTTTCTTTTATGGTACTAGGGATCAAATCCAGGGCTGTGAGCATGCTAGTATAGTCCCAGTTGAAGAATCATTACTAGACCAGAAAACATGATCAATTACTTATTCCTATTAAAACTTTTAACAACTATTACTCTGTATTGCAATTCCATAAACACTAAAATAATTTGTTTGATGGTTACTGGGGTTTGAACTCCGGGCCTCAGCACTTGGCCACTTAAGCCATACTCCCAGCCCTAAAATAAAATTATAATTCCTCTTTGAAATCAAAGTAATTGCAACAAATAACAAGAGTGATAACTAATAATTGGAACCTTAGGATACCAAATGTAATATTACAAAGATACTGTCTAGTTGCCTGAGTTACACTTAATACAGGATTTATCTTCCCTCAAAACTATCACAAAAATAAAAGGCAAATAATAGGAAAACCTTACTTTTCAAACAACTCTGGTTTCTTGTCATGTATAGTACTTATTAAAACATTATGTATCAGATGGGAGCCGGTGGCTCACACCTGTAATCCTCGCTACTCATGAAGCTGAAATCTGAGGATCACGGTTCAAAGCCAGCCGGGGCAGGAAACTCCATGAGACTCTTATCTCCAATAAACCACTAGAAAACCAGAAGTGGTGCTTTGGCTCAAGCGGTAGAGCGCTCACCTTGAGTTGAAGAGCACACGGACAGCGCCCAGGCCTAGAGTTCAAGCCCCACAACTGACAAAAAAAATAAAAAATAAAAAAAAATATGTGCCCAAGTTCAAGCCCCATAACTGACCAAAACAAAAAATTATTGTTGGGAGGCTACTAGCTCAGGGCCCCCAAGTTCAAACCAGTACCAAAAAAGGCACACAAACAAAAAAAACCTATATATCCACTAATGTTTAGCTACTTTGTTGTACATTCATTCCTAAATTAGATATAAAATATAAAATACAGAAAACATTTGCTCAACACTCAAAGAAACCATTTAATAAGTCAAAACAGAATATTCTTTCTTTCAGCCTGGACATACTTAACTTTCTACACTGACTAATAACAATGTATTATTTTTTTTTTTTGCTTATGTGGTGCTGAGGAATCGAACTCAAGGCCTCAGGCATGCAAGGCAAGCACTCTACCACTGAGCCACCTTCCCAGCCCCATGTATTAATTATTAATGTATTGATTGTATTCAGTGTTAAGATTACCACAGTTAAATGGACAATTTAATTCACTTTTTAAATTTTTTTTGTCAGTCTTGGGGCTTGAACTCGGGGCTTGGGCGCTGTCCCTCAGTTCTTCAGCTCAAGGCTAGCACTCTACCACTTGAGCCACAGTGCCACTTCCGTTTTTCTAGTGGTTTATTGGAGATAAGAGTCTCATGAACATTCTTGCCCTGCTGGCTTTGAACCGCAATCCTCAGATCCCATCCTCCTGAGTAGCCAGGATTACAGGCGTGAGTCACCAGCACCCGGCAACAATTCACTTTTTATAAGTGAAAAATCATTACCACATTTTATGGTATGTGCTCCAATATCAAAATAATGGCTTCTTTCAGAATCTGTGGTGGTCATTTGTAATTCCTTTGGTAATTACCATGAATGTGCCTTCACTTAATGTTAAATCATCATGCCATTATGAAAAGGAAATTAATGGCAGATATACAAGCAAAAGTAGTGAATTGTTTCAGGGAATCCCAGAAACTCAAGAACTAGATATCTGACTCAAGCTATAATCGTTTCATTAAGAAAATACTAAAACTGAGTAAGTTAGGTGGGGTGCCAGTAGCTCAGGCCTGTAATCCTAACTATTCAAGAGATCTGAGGATCACCATACAAAGCCAGTTTAGGCAGGAAAGTCCGTGAGACTTATCTCCAATTAATTACCAGAAAACCAGAAGTTGTGCTATGACTCAAAGTGGTAGAGTGCTGGCTTTAAGCAAAAGAGCTCAGGAACAGTGCCCTGGCCCAGAGTTCAAGCCCCATGAAAGACAAAAAAATAAATAAATAAAAATGAAACCTATATGTTTCAGATCCATGATTCAAGATCTCATAAACTTTTGCTGCTCCTTTTCAGAAATAATAAACATTTTTTAAATTGCTGAGTTTTGAACCTGAAGTTTTGAACATGTATGAGAATTTTATAGCAAAAAGAAAGGAAGGAATGAAGGATCCAATAAGGACATCTGTTTTTCTATAATACTGAATTACTAAAATGGGCCTGAAATAATAATCAGTTAAAGAATATTCATCCATGCTGGGCGCCAGTGGCTTATATCTGTAGTCCCAGCTATTCAGGAGGCAGAGATCTGAAGACAATGAGGACAGGAAAGCCTGTGACTCTTATTTCCAACTTACTACCAAAGGTGGGGAAGCAGGGCTGTGGCTCAAGTAATAGAGCACTAGCCTTAAGCAAAAACAGATCAGAAGAACCCAGGCCCTGAGTTCAAGCCCTAGGACCAGCACCAAAAAAAGGAAAGAAAGAATATTCATCCAGATCTATTTCTTCTTGGACTTCCTGCCGACTTCAAAAGAAAACAAGTAAGGCGGGCGCTGGTGGCTCACACCTGTAATCCTAGCTACTCAGGAGGCTGAAATCTGAGGATCACGGTTCAAAGCCAGCCCGGGCAGGAGAGACCGTGAGACTCCTATCTCCAATAAATCACCAGAAAAACTGGAAGTGGTGCTCTAGCTCCAGTGGTAGAGCGCTCGCCTTGAGCTGAAGAGCTGAGGGACAGCGCCCAGGCCCAGAGTTCAAGCCCCACGACCGACAAAAAAAAAAGAAAAAGAAAACAAGTAATGGGCTGGGAAGGTGGCTCAGTGGTAGAGTACTTGCCTTGTATGCATGAGGCCCTGGGTTCGATTCCTCAGCACCACATAAGCAAAAAGAAAAAAGCCGGAAGTGGCGCTATGGCTCAAGTGGTAGAGCTGAAGAGCTGAGGGACAGCGCCCAGACCCAGAGTTCAGGCCCCACGACCGGACCAAAAAAAAAAAAAAGAAAACAAGTAATAACACC